ATTTTCTTCATATTGCATAAAAATATTTTGAAAAGTTTCAAAAACAAAATTTGAATTTATGTTGACATTATGTTGACTTAAAATTAGTGTTTCACTGAGATTAATGCTGTATTAATTATTTAAACAGCTTATTTTACACTGAGTAAATTAAAACAGAGGTATTTGATATATGCAGTTATTACATGGCATTTTCCCAATCTTTTATAAACTTGCCAATAAGATTGATTCTACTTCTGAATATACCTGTTTTCCCAAATCAGTTTTAACTGTATTCTGTCATTTTACCCAGTATTTTACTAAAGACAATGGCATTAATTAACATGAAGAAATGTTTTAACAGATAATTAACATTTGCAAAACAGCTGCAGCTTAGTTGCAATGTCTAATATATAAAGAAAAACTTGTGTTTATCTGCTCTAGAGAATGACAAAATAACAATTATCAATCAAAAGTTCTAAGTCAATGTACATTGTATCTTCACACACACACCCCACTCCCAGTGAGCATCAAATCTTTCTCCTCAATTAATTGTAAAAAGGCCTCTTAGTCTTTTTAATCATCTTCTCAAATTTTAATTACATTTCCAGATTCCACAGTCCTGGAAAATTAGAAAAATGCTCATTATCTACATAAGGATGAGTACCTAAACTAATCAACTATTTCAACTTCCCCTTTTTTTGCTATTGAACACTTTTAAATCCATTTATACTGAATCAGATTCTTTTTCAAAAAGGAGAGGATAGACTATTTGATAAAAAGTAAGAGAAGGATGTGGGAAAATATACGCAACTTCACATTGTTAGATTAGAGGAACTTAGTTACCTTCCAACATGCCAGCAACTGAAGAGAAGTCTCAATTTTTGCCCACAGCAAACATCTCAAGTTGATCCATTAATGATGCAGGTAATGATCTTCCCTAGAACATTTCTTTAATTTAAGCATAAACTCAAAATCTCTCCTGCTCACTCAAATGCTTTCAACATCTCAGCATAGTTGTCTGTTCCTCGCAGACTGTTCCTGGCTTGTGTAAAATCTTACTCAATTTACTTGATTAGATTTCCATTTTGCCAGATGATAAAAGGCAAGATAATATATTGATTATAACAAACAGAAGGGTAATTTAAATACCATGAACTATTTTATGGATAGACATGAATGCTAATATGATGGTATCTTAAATTTAATAAAGTTCCACTTTTATTTACTATACTAACAAAACAAAAAACTTGGAGCCTACTATTTGCTCATAGTATGCATCAGCTGAAATTCAAAAATTATTTAAAGATGTAATTACTTCTTTGATGCAGAAGAGACTCTGGTTTGAATGCAGAACAGAGCTTTCTTTGCTATTTTATTATTAGCAATTCTTACAAAATATTGAGAAAATGGAGGAATAAATCATTGTGGCCAATGTTCCTCATTTCATAGAACAAATGAGGCTGTGTCCTAATATAAACAATTATTTAGCTATAATGCCACCAGAGATGACAACAGCCAAATCATAGCAAAAATTCAAAGAAATGGTGCAAGATTAGAAGATGTGGCAAGACCTGGTGCATAGAATTGCCAAGTGTCAGACTCAACCGAATGGATAACATCATCACCATCAACTATAATGCAAAAAAGCATCAGTGCTCAATCTATGCAAAAGCTCTATATCACAAAAGTAGAAAAACTATAAACATAAAATGGCATACATTTTGGAAAAACTTCCAATTATTACATTAAGACATGGTAAACTGAACATTTTCTTAGAGTACTAATACAGACAAAAGAGAGATACAACTTGTTTTGTTTACAATAACTTCAGTTTATAATCAAATATTCCTAAGACTGAAATACAAATATACTACTTTGTTTGGACCTCTTCCAATCACTTAAAAATACCCAGCAATTTGGCCATAAACTCATAGCAATTGCAAAGCTGTATTTTATAAAATAACATTTGTATTGGTAAATTGACACATTTATGTCTTAGAACAGTGGTTCTCAACCTGTGGGTCGGGACCTCATTTGGGGTCGAACGACCATTTCACGGGGGTCGCCAAACGCAGTCTGCCATTTTTTCCCCCTTTTCCTTAGCTGTGCTACTCCCTTTTATTCTATTGGCTTTTGAAAGCCAATAGAATAGACTCTCTTGAATAGAGTCTTAATTCTATTGGCTTTCAAAAGCCAATAGGAATTGTCCAGGCTGTCTCTGCCCTGCTGAGCCTGCCAAAAGTCCCATTCTGCAAACGGTGCTGCACCAGTTGAGTAGTCCTTGATTTACTACCGGTTGAGTAGTCCTCGACTTACGACCGGTTGGGGATCGTGGCATTAAAAAGGTTGAGAACCACTGTCTTAGAACATAGACTCAATTTGAAATTGAGTATAGGCAAAATGAAGGCGCCAATTTTAATAGTAGCCCAAAGTATACTTGTGCAATCTGCCTGTGCATTTGATGTATTTTCTGATTTCATAGCAGGTACAATGCAAGGGAATGAAAACCATCCAATCTCCTACCTACTGTATTTTCTTACATCTGACCATTTTCTTTCTAGTATCACAGGGATGTTAAACTGGCAGCCCGCGGGCCGGTTGCATCATATGGAGGCCATGCCCACCCCAGCTCCGACAATTTCAAAAAAAAAGTCACAATACGACTCAACACGTTTGACACCCGTGTATCAGATTATCCAGTGGAAGATATCTGTGAAAAGTAGGGTCTCAGTCTCTTTCTACAAGACTAGTATAAAGAGCTGCAGAGCTACCATATCATTTCTAATGTTATTCCCATGTGCTTTTGCTGAACAATGAAAAGCCCAATAGGCTAACAAATTATGTCCTGTTGCTTGGAATTTTTTCAGAACAATTTGCATGTGATTATCCAACATATATTTATCAAGAAATTTTTTGTGTTAATTTTGTGTTAATTTTTCTACAGGTAGTCCTCAACTTACATCACAACAGGGACCAGAATTTCTATTGTAAGTCATTCGGTTTTAAGTAGAGTCATTATGTGACTCAACCCAATTTTACAATCATTTTTTAAGTCAAGTCACCGTGGTCGTAATCAAATCACATGGTCATAAGTGCAAATCCAGCTTAACCAATGGCAAATCATGATCACATGACCAAGGATACTGCAAATGGTTGTAAATGGGAGCCAGCTGCCAAGTATCCAACTGTGATCAGGTGACCATAGGGTGGCAGTCATAGGTTTGAATTCAGGCCATAACAGGCTTTTTCGTAGGCTGTTTTTAATTCAAACCCATTGTTAAATGAACAGTTGTAAGTTGAGGGCTACCTGTAGTATAGTTTTGTTGTTTAGAATCACAGAACGTAAAGTTTGGAAGGAACTATGGAAATCCATAACTCATCCAACCACTGCCCAGAACAACATTCCATTACTACATCATAACTCTCCAGCCTCTATGTAAATACCTTCATTGAAAGAGAAGATCCACCACTCCATTCCTTTGCCAAACAGTGTTTGTCGTTAGATTTTTTTTCTTGATGTTTAACCAGAATTTACTTTCTTTTAATTTAAATCTATTGTTTCTTCCTACATTATGTGACAAGTTTTCTAGATGACACCCATTCGGATACATGAAATCAGCTGTCACATCTCCCTGTAGCCTTCTCTCTGGTAAATATTATCTAACATCTCTAACCATTCTTCCAAAATGTTTCTTTCCAGCCTTGTCATCCTGGTTAACCTCCTGTTTATAATGTATCCAATTTATCAATATCGTTCTTAAAATATTCTACCTAGAATATTCTCGTTGCACTTTGACAAATACAGAATAAGGAGGAATGATGGTGTTTCTTGATTGCATTATTACTTGTTTTCTTTCACAGAGGTTTTGGCCACATTCTTAAGGTACTAATGCAATCTTTGATTAGATATGTTTTAAGCATTTTATAATTTTATATAAAATTATTTTTATCGTATGAATCAGTTTGAAAATGTGAAAGCAATATTAAAATGTGTATATTCAGTATTTCCTCCAATTTAATTGTTTTGCTATCAGACAAACCTAAAATGAACTGAAATTGTGCTGCTGAGGAATAATTAGGGATTGAATGTGAGGAGGAAATTGAGAACAGAAATTTTCAGATACATTCTATTTTTCTTCTATACTCACATTTAAATTCCACATTACAAATGTCAAATCCTTAGCAGACATTTTTTTTATAAATTATCAAGTAAAACCAAAATGAAATTCATTATGGCCATGTATGCATAGAATAACAACAATTGTTAAAGTATGTTATAATTGTCATAAGGCACATCACATCAAGTACGTTGATTATACTGTGTTTAGCAGTATTATTTTATAAGGATTTTTAACACTAATCCCTTATGTTAACTGAATGCAAACATACAAAGGTGTGTGTAAATAATAGTAAATGGTAACCCATATCTGAAGTATACCCTCCCCATCTTGGTGCTTTCCAATATATTAGGTTACTAAAACAACTCACATCAACCAACAGTATATTGGATTAGTATTGGATGTGAATTATGTAGGTTAACTGGCAATATTTATTCTACTCCTGTCACTTTGCACATCTTGTCCCTCACACTGCTGAACGTAAAACATTTGTAGGCACCAACTTGGAAGGCTGCATTAGAGCATAGTGGCTGTGAATGCAGTTGATTAAATGTTTGAGGGAATTATACAGCAAGGACACATTAAAAAGAGCACTAAGGGATCTGGTTCTATATAACCCTGTTACTACTGCACTATATTATCTTCCTATTTTATGATGAAATGGAGGTAAGAGGCCATAATTTACATGTTTATTCTAGACATGTTAATTTATATGACAGGTAGTTATAAAATTTCCAGGTTTAATGATTTAACTGGAATATCCTATTTTGGAAAATGTTAAATATTCTTCTTATGATCTAGAGATAAAGTTAATTCATCCAAAAATCTTGTTCTATATTTACTGGCCTCTTCAAAAATATTTTCAAAAAGGATATTTTGGGTTTGTGTGTGTAGACATAGCTCTTTTTTGATTTAAAGTCATTACATACGTTAAGAGAAAACATAAGAATTAAAAATGTAAATATGATATGGAATTATACTCCAAAATAGGGAATTGGTATTTTATGAAGAATTCTGGCTCTAATGACCAAGGAGATTTAATGAGATTTATCCTATATAGATGGAAAGAAATTCATTCTAGATGTTTAAGAGTAGATTCAAGGGATGAGTTTTATCGATTTTACATATATACTGTATGTGTATATATGTAAAATACACACACACACACACGCATGCATGCACACATATTAATGCAGTATACAGATATTATACTATAACTGAAAAACGATCTTCATGTAGAAATTATTTCTAGTCTCCAGATTACTTTAGCGTCAAGTAATGTGGTAAAACATTGTTCCAAAACTCATATGTATGCTGAAATCCATTCACTGCTTGTTTCGGTGTTCTTTTTTCTTTAATGTTTTTTATTTTGCTGTTTGTATTTTGCTTTCTTCTTTCATTATTTTCTTTTTGTTTTTGACCTTTGGAGTTTTTGGCTACTTTTTCTTCCTTTTTACGCTCAACAATTTCTTTCTCGTCCTCCTCTTCTTCCTCCTCCTCCTCCAGTTCCTTCTCCCCCTCCTCCAGTTCTTCCTCCTCTTTCTCTTCCTCCTCCTCTTCTGTCTCCTCCTCCTCCTCTTCTTTGTCCAACTCCTCCTCTTCCTCTTCGTCCAACTCTTCTTTTTCCTCTTCATCCTCTTCCTCTTCTTCCTTCTTTTCCTCTTCTTCTTCTTTCTCCTCTTCTTCATCTTCTTTCTCCTCCTCCTCTGCTATCTCTTCCTCTTCTTCTTTCTCCTCCTCCTCCGCTATCTCTTCCTCTTCTTCTTTCTCCTCCTCCTCCTCCTCCTCCTCCCTTTGTTCTTCTTCCCCTTCATAAATCTCTGGGTCATTTTCTACCTCTTCATGATCTCCCTCTTCCTCATCTTTCTCTTCTTCACATCCCACACTTTCTTCATCTACTTCTCTTTCAATTTCTCCCTCTTGCTTTTCTTTTCCTTCTTCCTCTCTTTCAGTTTCTTCCTGATCCTGTTCTTCAGGTTCCTCTTCCTCTGCGCTATTCTCCTTTATCGACATAGCATCACCACTTTCCTCTCCATCTTCACATTCCTCATAATTTTCCTCGTTGTCCTTTTCTACTTCTCTCTCTTTTCTGTTTTCTTTCTCATCTCCCATTTCTTCATTATCTTTTTCCTTCTCCATTTTTTTCATTTTGCCCTTAATTTGGGCATTCCTGATGTTAGGTTTTTTTTCATATAGGTCCCTTTCCTCTATCTCTTGCACTTTATTATCTGTGTCATCTTTCTTTTGTCTTATCTGAAAGTTCTTTTCCTCCAGATTCTGCTCACTTTCTGTTTCAGATTGTGATTCATCATTTTCACTTTCTCCTTCATCACTCTTGGTGTCTATCATAGAATCCACCATGCCTTCAGATTTTTCTTCACTGTCACTTTCTTTGTCTTGTGCGCCATGTACCCTTTCGGTCTCTTCCATACTTACTTCATCTTCTTCAATGCATTGCTCCTTTTCTGGGTTTTCTTCATGTTCCTGGGTACCCTTCTCCAATGTATCATCCATATTTTTCTTTTCATTTTGCATGTTGTTAACATTTTTTTTATAATCAACTTGATTGCTTTCCCATTTATTATTTCTGTCTTCTATACTTGTTTCAGTAGCTGTCACATTTTCAAAATTAAATTGGTTTATCTCAAAAACATATGTTGCTGACTTATTCATCGCTTCTTGACTTAAGGAAGATGGCATTCTTACTATTTTTTCGATAATTCTTTCTTTGTGGTTATATTCTTTTTGTTTTTCACTATTGTTGTTACCTTGCATATATTGATCAGGTTTAGCTTTTACTTTATTTTTCTGATAATCTTCATGTCGTTTTTCCAGCTGATCATTACTAGAATGGCTGCATAGCACTTCTTGCTGAGTTGGTCCGGAATTTAGTTTGTCAATATTTTTCTTTTTTGTCACTTTAAATTCTTCTTTTACAGTTTTTTGGGTATCATAATTCAATGCAATAGTAGACATCTGTTCAGATTTACTCCCTGAATACTTTTTACGAGTCTTAATTTTCTGCACAAAAGCCTCATAGCTACTTTTTTTGGTGCAAGAATCCTTTTCAAAACTTTTTGAAGCCAGATACTCTAAAAGAGAAGATGATCTGCCAGATTCTAAGCTCTCTTGAAACTGGATACGATCAGATTCTTTCAACCCACCCTTACCATCAATTTTCAGTTTCATATTCTTATTTTTCTTCTAATCCATGTGAGAAGCAAGGGAAAAAGAAAAAAAGGAGAGAATTAAGAGCGAAGTAAGGGCAAATAAAAAGGCATCAGAAGATGAAAATGGCAGACAATAAAAGAATGGAGAAGAGGCTTAAATATAGCAAAAGCAACAAATTAAAACAATAACATGAACATCTAAAAAAGCATGAACCACTTTGGACACCCTTACACTCTTTTCTCTGCTTCGGGTTCCTATGCTTTATAATAATAGGCTTTTTGTGGATTAACAGAGTCAACATAGCAGGGTAAATCAGCTTCCAGAAACTATAATGGAATGAAGAATTTGACCTATCCTGGAGGCAAGATAAGTGCTTTTGTGCAAACAGAAGTATTTTTTCACCAAACACCTTCAGTTTTATTATTATAATCCTCATGTCATATTACAGATGGTCCTCAACTAATAACCAGAATTGGGATTGGAACCGCAGTTGAGCAAAATGGTTATTAAGCAAGTCACCCACCTGACTATTTCATGAATGATTGCAAACCTGGCACACTTGATTACAGTTGTTAAATGATCTCCTGGGTCATTAAATGGAGTAAATGGAGTTGCCTGCCAAGCTCAGCTTTCATCCATGCACAGAAGGGAATTGCTCTGGTGGGCTAGGGTATTTGGGGTCTGAGCTCCATTTCTTCACTCCTGCTACAGTTCGTCTCCCCTCCACGGATGGAAGAGAATTGTTCTGGTAGGCAGTCCACGCACATGTTCTCTTCCATGCACAGAGGGGAAACAAACTCTTGTGGGGTGGAGAAACAGTTCAAATCATGAAGATTCTAGCTCTGTCCCTACAGCCCCCTGGAGGAAATTGTGGGCGCTCCATCACTGGAGATTTTTAAAAAGAGGCTAGAACAGGGGTAGGCAACCTTGGCTCTTTTATGACTCGTGAACTTCAACTCCCAGAATTCCTGAGCCAGCCATGCTGGCTCTTGAATTCTGGGAGTTGAAGTCCACAAGTCATAAAAGAGCCAAGGTTGCCTACCCCTGGGCTAGACAGTCATTTGTCTGAGATGGTATAGGTCAGTGATGGAAAACCTTTTAGAGACCAAGTGCCCAAACTGCAACCCAAAAACCACTTATGCATCGTCGGGTGCCGGGTGGGTGTGGCCCATTGGCTGGGTGTGGCCCATTGGCTGGGCGTGGTTGCAGTGGTAATGGCAGACTGGGTGGGACTAAAAAGTTCAATCAATCAATTCCAACTTTGCAAGATTTTTTTTCCCGCAAGAAGTTAAAATTGACTGATTGAACCTTTTTTTTTTTTTTTCACACAGTGGTAGAGGCCTAAAGCGAAAAGGTTTTATAAAACCCAGCTGAAGGCCTAGGATTGGGGTGATGGTGCAGTTGCCCACAGAGAGGGCTCTGAGTGCCGCCTCTGGTACCCGTGCCATAGGTTTGCCACCACTGATATAGGTTCTCCTGCTTGAGCAGGGGGCTGGACTAGAAGGCATCCAAGGTCCCTTCCAGCTCTATTCTATTCAGGAGTCTCCCTTCTATGCACGGAGAACTCCTTTGAAGGGCTGTTGAAATGGAGCTCAGATCTTTAGGATTTGACTTTTGTTTTTGCAGCGTGACAGTGGAATTCTTCTCCCCTTGGCGGTAGCCCTTTTGCTTTCAGAGCTGCCTGCCAGGAGGGAATCTCAGCTCTATAGCAGGTGGCAGCACCAAAGCTTGCAACCTTTCCTGCCTCCAGGATGTGCATTTTTGTGTGTATATGTGTGTGTGTGTGTGTGTGTGTGTGTGTGTGTGTGTGCATATACATGGTATTTTATGACAATCGGAAGTACTTTATGGGCTGTAAAGCACCTTTTAATCATAATATGGAACAGCTGTTAAACAGTCATAAGTGGAGAACTACTTGTAAGTACATTCCAGACTTCTTTAAATTTGTTAATCTACAAAATAGTTGTGAAATTCAGGATTATATGACATTCCAATCTACTATTCTTCAGATTACATTTACATTAACATGATACAATTGCCAATTCTCAGATTTTTATTTTTAAAATATACTTGTCTTATTTGTCAGTTATATTGTTCTAGCATGCATATATACACTTTCTGCACAAAAGAACTTACTTTTATTGTACATAAAGAAGTTGGCATGCAAATATTACTATTCGGCAATATTTCTTTTAATACAACACAGATGACTTCAAATAGTGGAAGAATTCCATGTTTGCAAGATAATTAATTATGGACACTGATCTAGGATTTAGGATTCATAAAAAGTTATTAGTGTGTACCTACTCTCCTCCCCATCCTCTGCCCCTGAAAAAAGGTATTTTCCATTATGAAACTAAGTAAAACAATACTTTGAGCCCTGGGCAGTTTAAAATTTTATCAGTATTAACTGAAGACACCGCATGTTCTTAATCCTTTCAGTGACATATCCTACATATATCATATCCTACAATATATATTTTCAAAAACAAAACTGTTTTTATTGTTTGAATTGATTAAGGTGCATGGTTCAAACTGCTTGTTGAAAATAATCTGAAGGTTTTAATGCAGAAAAAATATCCCGAGGCCAATGAAAATTGCGCATCATTTGTTTTGTACAACAATTATTCATTTCAAACATGTAGAATTAAAGTACAGAACTTTGGGGTTGGTAGGCTCCCTCTGCTGAAGTCCTATCTCCTGTAAATGCATCAGATTGAGAAAAAAATTGCCTACATATACAGGGAGGAAAAAGATGGTCACTTAAAACCTTTTTTGCACACAGGGAAGAATGGATTGGTTCTCTTGTTTGTCAAAGAAGACGAGGAAACCATTACTCTCCAACTTTCTCTTGAACGCTTGATAAAAGATGGGAAAGATGATATAAGGCAGGGGTCTTCAAACTTGGCCCTTTTCTGACGTGGACTTCAACTCCCAGAATTCCTCAGCCAGCCACTCTGGCTGAGGAATTCTGGGAGTTGGTCCACAAGTCATAAAAGGGCCAAGTCTGAAGACCCCTGATATAAGGCAAGATGAAAAGAGGGATCATGAGAAAGATGGATTGCACCTGAAATGCCATGGGTAGGTTGTTAAAACTTTTGAGAGTGCATTCAACCTGCAGGCTTAGTGGTTCCCTGGGTTTCATCTACTGGAACAAAAGCATGAAAAGTAAACAACATGAAATATATAAACAATCCAACTGTACCTTTTGTTTTTGAACTGGTGCTAATTCTACCAGTTGGTCATTGAGATTTAGTCTCATCACATGGGTCTGAAAAACATTTTTATCTGAGTAGTAATAAAAGCAAGCAATTAAGTTTTACATACATGAAAAATGCTTTTTTTACTGGAACATCTCAGATCAGTTTCTGAACAACCAGAAAATAAACAGAATTAGAGAAATGCAGTAAAAAGTTCTATTAAATGCCAGACTATGTTTGTTTTAGCTCAGTCATCATGGATATTTTGACTGAATATTACATCCACAAAATATCCTGATTGGAAACCAGGGTATTTTTTTTACTGATTATGTAAACTCACATATCTGCGATTCCCCTACCCCCCCCCCCCGAGTCTGTAGAGTAGATCAGCATATAAATTTAATAAATTATTATTATTAAAACTAGAGAATATGAACAGTCTATGCCTCTAAACAAGGCCTAATTTTTCTGTAATTTTGAAAGGTATCACCCATTGCTTTCCTAATTCTAAATATTAAATTTACTCAGTTCCTAAAATACATCTTGTAATAAAATGTTATCTAAGAAAATTCCGAATTTTAAACAGCAACTTTTCAAATCTCTTTTTAAAAATATTTTTCCTAGTATAAAATAAACATTACTTTCAATCTAGAATTTTGTAACTATAATTATCAGTCACAATCAGTCACAAAATCCCTTGATTCAAGAGGGAAAACTATTTCTTGCCTGATTCCCTACAGAAACCCCATTTCTGATTATTTTTCCATTCCAGCTTAATACTTTTTTCCTGGAAAAGTTGGCACACCTAAACAAAACATTACAATGCCTTCTATTTTCAGTCTGTAAGACTATCTATCAGTATCATACATGCCAGATCCTTATTTTTTATTTATTTAAATTAAAATTTAATTAATTTTAAATTTAATTTTAAATTACCTTGGTTATGTTTTGTGTTATTTAATATTAGGAACAGTCAAAGCATTCCAGTTTTTTTTTCTGTTGAACAGTAGTTAACTCAGTACAGCTAGACAGAAATCTGGCACACAATGGTTCTGTTACAAATCAAACACATTTTCCTATTTTGTGTATCTCCAGGTTCTCCCGCAGACTCTTCAACCATTCACTAGTAAATACATTACCATATTTAGGATATCTGTAGTATCACCAAGGGTTCTTTCTTCATTATCATCTGAATCATTATCTGTTGAGCTGTCCTCTGTATCACTATTCTCCTCTTTCTTATCTCCTTTAAAACAAAATATATAATACACTTTGACTCTTTAGGGAGAAAAAGAGTTTGTCCTGTTAATAATTCCGTTAAGTGAGTTTTGCCTCCTTTTACAACTTTTCTTGCCACAGTTGTTAAATCACTGCACTAGTTAAATTAGTAATACAGTTGTTAAGTGAATCTGGCTTCTTCATTGTGTTTGTCAGAGAGTCATAAAAGGTGATCACATGATCATGGGACACTGCTACTGTCATAAGTAAATGCCAGTTGCCAAGTGCCCTAAGTTTAATCATGTGACCATGGAGGTGCTACAACGGTATAAGTGTGAAAAACAGTCAGAAGTCACTTTTTTCAGGGCCATTGTAATTTTAAACGAATGGTTGTAAGTCAAGGACTACTTGTAAACAAAACATAGCTTACCTGTTTCATGATCCCTAATGGATTCAGATTCTTTATTTCTATCAGTTCTGTCAAGTGGAAGAGTACTGCTGATGATACCTGATGCAGGTTTTAGGGATGTTTTCCCCAGTGGAGGAAGCGTTCGCACCAATCGACCACATTGTTCTGGTGATTTTTCCTTCTGAAAGAATTAGAAGAAAGCAAATCAGCATTTATATTAAATTCTTAAAGAATAATATACAGAATATATTAAATTAATGATACTAACCGCATTTCAGATTTTGGAACAGGCTCTGGGAATCAAAACTGTTTAATTCCCTTAGAACTTTGGTTGAAATGTTTAAATTATCTGAGCCAGAGTTAATTTACATATTTAAGATTTAATATAATTAAAATTTTAATTTCAAGGTTTAACAAGTTCACAGTACCCTGGAGTACAAATTCAAACTTATAAATTAGAAACAATGTACCGTATTTTCCGGCGTATAAGACGACTTTCTAAATCCTGAAAATCTTCTCAAAAGTCCAGGTCGTCTTATACGCCAGGTAGCTGTTCTCTGAATTTAAAACCAATCTACCCCCTAGTGGCCAGCCCTATTTTTTTTACAGAAATAAGCACTAACACAGTGTTTCTCAATCTTGACAATTTTAAGGCATGTGGACTTCAACTCCCAGAATTCCACAGCCAGCAGGACAAAGCATTCAAAAATCCCATTTTTCTACATCGCCCATCACTTTATTCTTTTTCAGGAAAAGCAATTAAATAGTAGAAAACAGTAAGCTATATAAATTAAGGACATTACATCTACAAAAAAAAAGAAACATTTGATTTACTTCTTATATATATAGCAGCAGTCATGAATATATGGAAAAACTTTTTGATTCAGCAAATCAAATTGATTAAGAAAGATACTGGCAAAGGAAAAAGATCAAAGTGAAAATTAAGAAAATAGATGATGGGATCTACCAGAGAGAATATTTAAAAAAGAAACATTTGTTTGAATATGGTTAAGGAAACAGAAAAGATTCTGAATACATATGTCATTCTAAGAGAGATGAATTCCTTAAATAATACTGTATGCTTTCTCCCCCTTTTATTTTATTTCTTGATATAAGTAATATAATACTGCTGAAATGGCCTAGATGAAGTAAATGTTTTAGATAATTAAATGTGTCTGAATTTAGGGAAATTATAATGTATAAAAAAGAAAAAAATGTTTTTAATAAGACCTAAAGGATTAGATGACTAGGCACATTAAATGGAATAGTTAAAGATTAAATATATTTTATCAAAATAATAAGAACTATATTATTTCAAGGTTTGCAAAGAAGACATTTTGGGGAAAAGGGGAAATCAACTAAATGTACTATGTGGATTACAGATTACAGAAACCAACTGTTAATGATTTTTCTTTACAAATGTAAACCCAGCAAACACACTGTTTACCAACTATTAAGTGATTTATGTTTTAAAAAATCAATAAAATATATGGGGGAAAAAATACCAGCTGAGTTCAGGAAGCATTAGGGAAGCAGTGGTGGGCAACACTCACTTTTCTAATAGCAAAGGAATGGAGCTCCTATTATGCTCATCTATAAACAGAAATTCAATATTGTACCGTTTTTTCCAGCGTATAAGACGACTTTCTAAACCCTGAAAATCTTCTCAAAAGTTGAGGGTCGTCTTATATGCCCAGTTGTCTTATACACTGGAATATACGGTAACCTTTATTTATTTAGAGAAAGACAAAAAAGAAAATTATTTTTTATGTGCTGTCATTGATTTCTTTTATACTGCCCAGGATTGCCCTATCAAGGAGATGGGTGGCATATAAATTTAATAAACAAATAGATATCTCCCTTCCTTCCATTAATTTCAATTAGGGTTTCCGATCTCATTTTGTATTCATTCCTTAAAAGTATTACAGACCTATTCTTTCCTTTGATTTCAAGAATTACAATAAAAATTCATCATGAAGATAAAACATTTCAATAAAAAGTTCCAAAACTTAAAAAGACTTTTAAATAATTCTTTTAATTTTTTTAAATCTTTTTCATGCACAATTTTTAATAGCCTGCTTGGAACAGTTATTGTGTACCTTCTCTCTCCGTCGCACACGTGCTGAAAACGTTTGCTGAAAGGTGTCTGCATCTCCACCCATTTCGGACACTTTAACAGAAAAATTGTGCTCATTTTCTTCTAGCTCATGAATATTATCAGATTTCTTAGGATTTGGGGTGGCAAAAACCAGCATATGACAACCACCACAAGCAGCCTATAACATAAGCATAGTAGACTGTATTATTAGAAGTGCTACATGCAGGTGGATAACCCTGACAGAAAAATATTTTCCTGAGTTAGACTTTTTAATAATATCTCAAAACACATAATACAAAATTAACAAAAATAATTTTTCCACAGAAATTTGAACCAAGATGATCTACCAAACACCCAAAACTAAATGGGAAAAAACTACATCATCATGCACCAATTAATACATTGTAAACAGCATGTTTGGAACTGGGTGAGAAAATTGATTCTTTCTTTACTATTTTACAACTGAATTTCCTGGGAAAGGCTCTCAAGAAGCTAAAAACCTCCGAATGTAAATGGAAGCGGCATTTTAATTTTATGGGGGCCAGAAATATAGAATACTGAAGTGGAAGTAACATAAACTACAGTTTGGATAAATTTGAGAACTGAGATAACTGTTAAGATTTTCTCTTTAAAAAAAAATTGAGGCAAAATATAAGAAATCAATCCTTTGTTTTAAGAGTGGAAAATGGATTTCGAATGATATTTAGTGGTGGATTTGTGCATAGCACTATAATTTGCTTCCTGGCTGCTTGGTGATTCCTAGCTCGGGAGAACAACTGGCAATAAAGGAAAATATTTTGGCATACTTATCATCCAGACCTTCTTGGATTATAAATACTTACTGAGCTTGGACTTTTAACTTCAAGAGCCAGTGGGAGAGAAAGAAAAATTTGACCTTGGACTACATCTGGCTGGGAGAGACTTCTGAGCTGTTTTCAGAGAGATTGAGCATTTTGAACACTTTGAACATTGTGAATTACAACCTTGCCTGATTGACAATTTTTGGATACTTGAGACAAAGGATCACTATAAAATATTGCTTTCAGGATTGAGCCTATACTTTGGAATCTATTGGATTATAAAGGATAAAGACCAGAAAACTAGAGGAAACTTTGATCTACTCTTACTGAGACTAGTGATACTAGAGCAGACATGTCAAACTCGTGATGTTTTTTCCCCATTGCCGGCAATGGGGTGGGCACAGTTTCCTGGTGATGCGTCCGGCCTGCAGGCTGGCAGTTTGACATCCCTGTACTAGAAGATCTCCAGGAATGATGCCTCAAGAAAAAACAAACACCTTTCAGAAAGAAATATATTCTATGCTATAACTAATTCATCAAACAATTGTTGAATGCAAAGAAGACATAAAAAGAAATCATAATGAGACTAAAAACAATTTAGACAATCTCCAAATTAAATCTACAACTAGAAAGTTCCTAGATAACGCCTACAAAGTATGAACAAATAAATCAGAAATCAGAAGACGAAACAGAGGAAACGGATTTAGAGATGGAAGAGCTAAAAGAAGGAAAATATAAACGACTATATACAGACAAAATACTGCAAGACTGAGCTATAACGATGAAAATGCAAAAGACCTTTTACCCTTTAGGTCTACAAAATATATCTGATGGCAAGGAAGATTATTTTAAAAAAATGGAATATAGAGCTGTTAGGGGAAATATCACAACTTGAGAGATAGGGAATGAAAAGAGAAATGGAGGGAGAAAGGAACTGGGAGTTGTTTAAGGAATATAAATGGGTGGAATTCTCCCCCAAAATATCCTACTTAACTTGTCTTCTTTATACCAAGCAATTTTTACAAAAATAGAAAGAAAATTCCTGGGCAATCTAATAGCCCTGGGATGGAAAGCTACTTTGCAAAGAAAGAAAGCAAGAGTCAGATTTAAAAAAAACCAGAAGATTTGACCTTCTAGATGGAGCAGTATATGTTTAAATACTTGTTTGAATAAGATTAAAAAAACAGATGACCCTTATATATAATTAGACTTTTATAATGAAAGATATGATTTAAAATTAGATAGAATTTTTTTCTTTTTCTTTGATATGGGTAATATGAAAATAAGAGGAGGATTGATATGAATAAAACTTTTAGCTACATAAATGTAATTAATATTAAGAAAATCATAACTGATAAAGATTTCAAATACTGATGGGAAATCAAACCTTAACAAGAGCACGAAAAACAGGATATTGATTAATGAATTGACATTATTGATTTATGAATTGATATTATTGTTATTTGTATATTAGTAAAATATGATGAAGATGCTTGTATTTAACTCTATATACATTAATAGTACCAAAAATTGTAACTGTGTAATGAGGAGAAAATGGAAAAAATATGAAGGAGGATCAAGAAAAAATACTGGATTGTGTGGTATTGAACAAATTTATATTGAAGAAGTCAATGTTAAATATTGGAACTCATACAACATATTGTTTACTAAGCACTAAAGACTGTAATTCTTAAAAATTAATAAAACTTTTTTTAAAACAAGAGTTTTACTTAAAGATGATTTATAGAACATAAAGTTCCTAGTACGGGTTTCATATATATATAAAAAAAACCCACCTCCCAACTGTAGAATATAAAATTAGGGGAACGTCTTACCATATATAGTAACTTTGTGATAGGTTTAAATTTATTTGGGACCAGGTTTTAAGGAATTAGAACAAATTGCACAACAAATAAATAGCACTACCTAGCTGGCATTATTGAATTTGTAGTAACACTGATCTACAAATTTTGGGAAATAATTGACCTCCAAGATAAAATGTGTTAATTCTCACATATTTTGAGTAGATAAATTAGAAAACAGGTGGTAAAGATGCTGGTTGGCTAAAGTTTTCAACATATTTCACAATAAAGATTTATACACAGGCGAGTATGTTTGCCTACAAGGGAGGGAGGTTTCTAATGATTATGAGGCCTCGTAACTTCTCAACAAAATATTTTAGAACAATGAAAATGGTACCACGTGGAAGTGTATAAATTTATCTTCACTTTGAGACTAACGATTATTACTCAACTGTAATTTATTGTTTATTACAAGGCACATTTTTCTTGGTCAGATCTACGCATCATATAGTTACATCTGGTGTCTTGTGAAAGCGTCATTGTCTAACATTTCCAAGGAACAGTTGCATGATATTTTCCCTCAGAAGCCAAGACGCCTCAAAACTGTGTAAATTATGCAAATAATTTCTGCTACATTTGTGGTGAGGTTACATTTGTACCTCAAAAGTGTAATATGACAGCAGTGGTAAAAAAAGCATACCACCTATGTTTTGGATGCAAAATAGGGAATCAGGACAAGAGTTGGGCCCTTCATTATTGTTGCATTATATGGGCAACTTATCTGCATTATTGGCTAAAGAAGAAGAAAAAGTCCATGCCTTTCACAGTCCCAATGGTGTGGAGGGAACCCACCAATCATAGTAGCGACTGCTATTTTTGCATGGTTTCCCCAGTTGCAAAAGGGATCTCAAGAAAGAAGAAGTGGATCATAGAATATCCAAACATTCCATCCGCACTGTGTCCTGTACCCCACGGTGAGGACTTGCCAATTCCAGATTCACCAGAATCCTACTCTCTAGACTCAGATGATGATAAAGATAATGAGCAGGATGCAGCTGATCCAGGGCTGTTAGTGGACCCAAACTTTAGCCCAGCGTATGCTCCTCCTGAACCACATCTAATTTTACAGAGTGAATTAAATGACCTGGTCAGGGATTTGGAATTGCCTAAGAGTAAGGCAGAGCTACTGGGCTCCAGATTACAACAGTGGAACCTCTTACAGAGTGAAAAAGCATGAAAATGTTACGTGGAAAACCAATGAATGAATGAAAAGTTACGTTATTGGTATCAATAAAAAGATAAATTTATAATGATTGGTGTGGCACCATTATCATTGCTATATCACATTTTTCAGAAAAGTTATAATTGCATATCCCCCTTGTAATTTTGAATTATTTTGATGCAATTTTGACCTGAAGCTGTATCTTGGAAACCAATTAGTACTCAGGACATATTTTTACTTTATTAGTGACCCAATTCTGGTAAAATTTTGCTACTTTCATTTCCGAGGCTTTCTCCTTGTAGACCAGTGTAATCATTAAATAAAAATGTAACATGCAGCCTTAGTGGAATATTTAATGGCTGCAATTCAAAAAGTTGGGTTGCTAGATTTTTGAAAGATCTGATTGGAGCTGGTATAGATGACTAAAACTTACGGGTATGGGATATTTTGTTACAGAAATTTTTTTTAGACAATATAGTGCAGTGGTTCTCAACCTGTGGGTCGGGACCCCATTTGGGGTCGAACGACCATTTCATGGGGGTCGACAAACAATGCAGTCCGCTATTTTTTTCCCCTTTTCCTTAGCTGTTCTATTCCCTTTTATTCTATTGGCTTTTGAAAGCCAATAGAATAGACTCTCTTGAATAGAGTCTAATTCTATTGGCTTTCAAAAGACAATAGGAATTGTCTCTGCCCTGCTGAGCCCGCCAAAAGTCCCATTCTGCACCAGTTGAGTAGTCCTCGACTTACAACTGGTTGAGTAGTTCTCGACTTATGACCGGTTGGGGGGTCGCGGCATTAAAAAGGTTGAGAACCACTGATGTAGTGAGTTAAAAAAACAAGCTAAAATGAACAATTATGGACTAGTCCATGTTTACTGAAGTAATTAACAAAAGAAGTATCAATCAACATCATCCAAAGATATAGGAAAATATTGGAAATATATCATTCTTTCACAACACTTTGAAAATATCTTTCAAATAATATAACTGAATGAAAAGTTTGTATGGAAATGAAACATTTATCATGCCACTTTTTCTTCTTTTTCTTATCATTGCATGCTATATTATGTTTTTATTTGGATAACATTAAATCAATTTTTTATTAATGTAAATAAAATGTAGACTAAAATGTAAAGATGGAATGATAAATAAAATTATACTTTATGACTTCAGAGCTCATTTATAATAAAAAATAAATGAAGCATAATACTATTTTTAAATAATTAGATATTTTAAATGCCAGATGATACTTATTTCAAAGTATAAATAAGAAACTGAAGACTTACCAAATGTACAGTAAACTTCAAAAAATTGGAACATAATGTAGGTACAAACTGATTTGTGTAATTTTCTTTCCCAAGTCCTAATTTGCCATGCCGTCCATCACCAAAAGTATACATAAGACCATTCTCTAAGTACAAAAAAACATGTTAATACCTCAGCCTGCAGACAAAACTGTTATTCTAGCAGCAATTCTATACTTTAGAATTTCAACATGTAAAACAGGCTTTTCATTAGGAGTTCATCCTCGGTTTTCATTTTTAATAAAAGTTTATACAGCAATAATATGATTATTATTTGTACTGCCTCCATTTCTGATTTGGAGAGAAATCACAATTTGTTATATTCACATTTAATGCCAATCTGTTATTTTCAGAATAATGAAACATATGGGAAAATCTGAACCTATGAGAAAGCAGTTGTAACACTGAGTGATTAACCCAGGCCACTATCCCAATGCAAACCCATTGGTTAACAATTACATGTGAACTTAGTCACCAGTTTTTTAAAAAGAAATTGCTAAAATTAACAATTAAAGTATTGCTTTGAAATCTATTTAGGACTATGAAGATCTATTGACCTTTAATATCATAAAACACTTAGGTACACTGCAAATATAGCACCAGCGTTAACATAATACGTACCTGTTATTAAAGCTGTGTGGTTTTCTCCACTTGCAATGTTACAGATTTTATGCTTTTCCAGATGATTTACTATCTTTGGTTCAGAAGTTTCAAAGATAAATGTACCAAGTCCAAGTTGCCCATATTGACCTAGGCCAAAGGTATAGACCTCTCCCCCTGAAAATTGCACATGAAAGTAATATTCTAGTCATAAATGTCATTTTCAAACAATCGGGGTGTTATAGCAGAGCTTATTAACATAAGCTCGTTAGCAAATAAATGCAAATTCAGATTAGTATCTATACTGATTATTGTATAAAAAGAAATGTAAAGTTAGCCCATCTCACTTCCATTGCAAAATGTATCAGGATTATCAACATGAAAAGATATGTCTTGTGCAAGAGGAAAAAAAGCTACAGTGGATCTAGATTGTCATGTTACTCCAGTTTTCTTTTCTACTACAAGTGGATAAATATTATAAGACACATAAACATGTTTCCCATAGTAGCCAATAAGATTCTAGGAAAAGCATGTAAGCAGAATATAAGAGCCGAGGTGGCGCAGCAGTTAGAGTGCAGTACTGCAGGCCACTTTAGCTGACTGTGTTCAGCAGGTCAGCGGTTCAAATCTCACCGGCTCAAGGTTGACTCAGCCTTCCATCCTTCCGGGGTAGGTAAAATGAGGACCCAGATTGTTGGGGGCAATGTAAATATATATATATATACATTGCTTACTGGTGTACACCGCTTAGAGAGTGCTCGCACTTAAAGCGGTATATAAGTCTCATAAATAAATAAATAAATAAATAAATAAATAAATAAATAACAGCAACAGCATTTAAAATCTGCCTTATTGATGCTACAGAAATAAAATTCCTTACCTGGGATTCCTGCTTCCCATTTAATGACCTGAGTGTCTCAGATTACAACTACACCTGGGACTGGGATACTAAGTGATTTGGTCCTGTGAAGTTATACTTTATGATTGCATCACCTAGCAATAGCAATCCTGTTCTCAATTATCATAACTTGTACATCAGCTCCTCATTTAGCAGCTGTTGTTTTGTGAATATTTGCAAATACAAAGGCAAGTATTCAAAAAAAAATTTTTTTTCTGACCAAAGCATACATTTGCAACCAATTTATTTTCCAGATTATTTTTTATTCTGCCTCTTATTCTTTTTAAAAACAACTCAAGGAGGAAAACAAAGATAATGCTACATTTGGTTAGTCCTAGGCAGTGGGCCTTTTCTGATGTGGCACCCACATTGTGGAATTTTGTAGAATTCTGGAATATGCTATCTTTAACACCCCTCCATCTATTATTTTCTTTTTCTGTTTTAGCTTTGCTTTTTAGATTGTAATGCTTTTTAAAATAATTATTATATAATGGTTTTAGGTTATAATTGTTTTATATGCACACTGTCAATGCTGCAAATACTGTATATTCTTGCTTTGACAATATGCAAAACTGTCTGGCATTTATTGGGTTAATACTTAGCTTAGACTGAGCGGGGAAAAAGCCCGGGAAAGAAAGAGGAAGTAAACGTTTGACCTTCTCACTAATTGGATAATGTGACCTGTGACTGCATGAGAAGGGAGGGGTTGAGCAAGGAAAGCTTGATGCCAGCGACCAGAAGTTCAGATTCTGGCATTAATTAGTCCAATGGTGACCGGCATAATTTGTAGCTCTGCAAATAAAGACTTTAGGAAACATGCCTGAAAGTTCTTTGAAGTGCTTCATTAGTCGGAACATGTGACATCATGCCAGAATCCACACTCTTTTCAAACGATCTACGTCCCGATTTATCAACAGCAGCCTCGGGGGAGATCTCATTATGGAGGAAAAAAAATTGCCTGAAACCAGCCCCGTAGCTGCAGCAGTTTCCCCGGGGGAAGACTTCAAAAGCAGCATGGACAGATAACACAGTTATGGGTGAGTCATTGGAAAGATTTCAAAACTTAGAAATGAGAAACAGAAAACAGTCCCTACAAAGTGAAACCTTCATCCCTAAGAGAGAGAATCCCAGTTTGAATCCTCTGCAACAAAGGGGAAATTGGGTTCCCCAGCAAGTGGCTGATCCATGTCCTCTGAACTTACCACAGCCAATAGAGGCCTTGCAATGTCTTGGGGTGGTACAGAAGCCAGGAAATCAGCAGCTGGGGGGAGAACAGCCACAGCAAGGAGGTTGGCCACAGCCCCCAAACGTGCAACCCCTGGGCATAAATCTGCAGCCAGGTTGGGGCCTACAGCAACTGGGGTGGCCACAAGAGCGATGGGGAGCCCAGCAGGAAGCCTGTCAGACCCTGCCTTTGCCAGCCAGAGACCCCAACCCTGAAGAGAGGGTGAGTTCCAGTCTGAGGCATCTGCAGCAATGGGTAGATGGGTTTCCCCAGCAGATGGATGATCAGCAGCAGCAGAGGGCACCACCACCCCCTGCAGTCCAACAACAGAGAAGACCACTACAACCCCCACTTGCGCAGCCACCATTGGGAGGCCTACAGCAGCAGGGGGTACCATCCAACCCCGCTGGCCAGCAGCCATGGAACCAGCCCCAGTGGGGGCCACAGCAGCCTGTGTTTGCACCACCCTTCAATGCAACGTTCGATGGGGACCCAGAGAAGCTGATTTTTTTCCTCAACCAAGTGCATTCTCATTTAAATCGCTGGGCCTATCTCTATCCGGAACCAGGGGCCATGGTTGACGTCATTGGGGCCAACCTGGAGGGAGAAGCATCTGAATGGCTGAACAATCTATATAGCGAGCAAGCCCTCGAATTGGAGGATCCCCATCTCTTTCTCTTAGGACTGAGAGAACGATTTGAAGATCCATCCATTGGCCTCAAAGCAGCAGGACAAATTCACAAGATAAAACAAGCAGGGAGGCCTGCCCTAGAGTACGTGCGAGAGTTCCGCAAGATGGCAGGTCGAATAGAGGGGTGGCCTGAGCAGTCCCTCATCCATCACTTCATCGAGGGATTAGATGATCACCTCTCCCAGGCTTGCATCTATCGAGAAGTACCTGATCGGCTGCAGGAGTGGTACCAGACGGCCGTGAAGCTGGATGTTAAGCTCTCTCGCTATAAAAAGCCTCCCCCACAGGAACCCAAACAGCAACCAGAGCTACCTGAACAGCAATCACCCCCACAAAAGCCTTCAACCACTGCAAGGGCTGAGAGACCCAGGCCACCTGCACGCCCTTCCTTCAAGTGTTTCCGGTGTGGACAAGGAGGACACCGAGCGGCCACCTGTCCAGTCCCCTACCCTCGACTGCAGAGCAAGCCAGGACCGGCGATGCAAAAGAAACCTGCTCAGCGGCTACCAAGAGAAAAATCTAATCGACTCACGCAAGAACCAGTCGCCCAGGTTACACCCCACACACAGGAGAATGCCAAGACTCCAGGTGGACCTGCCCCTGCTCTTCCCTTCTTTGATAGCAACGATGAAGGAGAAAACGACCCAATGGTGAGTCAACAAATCCTGCCTTTTTCACTGCCCGCCAAACTTGTAATCCCTACGTCTGGGGCACAAATAGACTTAAACGTACTAATTGATTCGGGATATACCCGCTGCATTATTAGTCTGGCGTTTGCCATGAAAATGGGCATAAGGGCAAAACAGCTTTCCAAACCGATGAGATTTGAGCAAGCCGATGGCTCCCTGATGGGAGGGACTCTTATTACACAATTAACGGAGCCCTTACGCCTAGAAATAGGTGCACACTGGGAGTTTATTCGTTTCCTGGTGGCTCCAAAGATGACCGAGGCAGTGATCCTGGGACTAGCCTGGTTGGACAAATGGAAGCCATTTATCTGGTGGGAGAAAGGAATGAGAATTGTGAGACTACCTATAGGGCCTGATCCCCCCATTGATTCAACAGATGTTACCGGGCATCTTAGGCCACTCAATGAGCGAGCGCACATGGCCGTCTCACTGACCCCAGGTGAACCAGTCATCCCCAAAGAACATTCCAAGTTGGGGAAAAGGTCTATCTGTCAACTAAATATCTACGCCTCAAATTGCCCAGCAAGAAATTGGGACCAAAATTCTTGGGGCCTTTCCCCATAGTAAAGGTCATCAACCCAGTCACAGTACAACTAAAACTCCCTAAACTGTTAGGGAAAATTCACCCAGTTTTCCATTGTAGTTTGTTGAAGCCTTATCGGGGCTCCACTTTGAGACCTCCTCCAAAGAAGGCACCTGGACCCCTCGTAGTGGCAGGGCAGACCCACTATGAAGTGAAACGTATTCTTGACTCCAGAATCTTTAGAGGGAAATTACAGTACTTGGTACAATGGAAGGGATACCCATTGTCTGAAGCCACCTGGGTGAAATCTAGTGAAGTGAACGCTGACAGATTGATCGAAAAGTTTCATGTGAAACACCCCAGCAAACCGAAAGATAACCCTTAACATATGCTTTTGTTTACTTTACAGGATCTGTCCTTCTTGTAAGGGGGGCCGGATGTCAATGCTGCAAATACTGTATATTCTTGCTTTGACAATATGCAAAACTGTCTGGCATTTATTGGGTTAATACTTAGCTTAGACTGAGCGGGGAAAAAGCCCGGGAAAGAAAGAGGAAGTAAACGTTTGACCTTCTCACTAATTGGATAATGTGACCTGTGACTGCATGAGAAGGGAGGGGTTGAGCAAGGAAAGCTTGATGCCAGCGACCAGAAGTTCAGATTCTGGCATCAATTAGTCCAATGGTGACCGGCATAATTTGTAGCTCTGCAAATAAAGACTTTAGGAAACATGCCTGAAAGTTCTTTGAAGTGCTTCATTAGTCGGAATATGTGACACACACAGTTTATTGGACTGCTGTGTGCTGCCCAGAATCACCATTCATGAAATGGGTAGCCATATGAATTTGGTTAATAGCTAAATAAATAATCTTCCTCCTCCATTTTCTCTACAACAGCAACCTTGTGAGATAGGTTGGGCTGATAGAGAATGACTGGCCAAGGTCACCCAGCTGGCTTTCATGCCAAAGGAAGGACTAGAAATCACAGTCTCCTGGTTTCTAGACCAACACTTTATCTACAGGTAGTCCTTGAGTTACAATAATTGTGCCCAACATTTATGTTGCTAAGTTGTTAAGTTAGTGACACGGTAACCATTGACTTTGCTTGTCAGAAGGTCTCAAAAGCTGATCACATGACCGCAGGACATTGCAACGGTCATAAGCATCTGAATTTTGATCATGTGACCATGGAGATGCTGCAACAGTCGTAAATGCAAAAAACAGTCATAAGTCACTTTTTTCAGTGCCTTTGTAACTTTGAACGGTCACTAAATGTTGTGAGTCGAGGACTATCTGTACTACACAGCAAAGGTCTTCAGGCTGAAAATGATTAAACTCTGATCAGTTTAAGGCATCAGCAGAGCTGGTCAGAGGGTGCTACTAATAATAATTAAGGTCCGAAAACTCAACATTGTAACTTTGAGTTAGCATTTTTTAGGGAAACACCGAGATGTGGAGAAAAGCCACTCAGGAAAAGATAGTTTGTTCAAGCAATCTATACACCCTATGAGGCAGTACAAAAGGGGGAAAAAAGCGAGTCAGGCACAGGAGAGAACTTTGTCCAAATAAAATGGCAACAACTAACGATCTCTCTTTGATGGTCAGCTTAAAATGTGTTAAGAGATATGTGAGTACAGGTAGCCTCCCACTTACAATTTTTGTTTAGTGACCGTTCAAAGTTATAATGGCACTGAAAAAGTGACTTACAACCTGTCCTTGCACCCACAACTGTCACAGCATTCCTATGGTCACCTGATCAAAAGTTGGGCACTCTTCAACTGGCATATATTTATGACAGTTGCAGTCCTGGGGTCACGTGATCACCTTTTATTATACCCAGAGTCCCTCTGTGAGGGAGATGGATGGTTCAAAATGTGAAAAATAAATAACTTTGCAACCTTCCTAACTGATAAGCAAAGGGGAAGTTGAGTCACTTAACAACCACATGATTCACTCAACAACTACAGTGATTCACTTAACAATCAAATAAAATTGGGCAACCATCTTGCTTAGCAATGGAAGTCCCAATTGTAGTTATAAGATGAAGACTACTAGTATCATAATTTGTTCAGAGTGGTGAGTATGAACACCAATTATATACTAGAAAGCAACAGAAAAAATATTGAAGCATATATACCAGCCAGTGCTACTGTATGTCCTCCTCCACAGGCAACCTTATTAACTCTACTTGGAATTCCAGAAACAAGCTGTGGGACTCTATTGTTTTTCAGTTGTTCAAGTGACAAACCTAATTTCCCATTGTCAGACTCCCCAAAAGTATAAAGTTCTCCATCACCTATAGGAAACAAAGTGGGAACATTAAGATTCATGACACAAGGAGAAAAGACATTCATTGTAGAATACTTTATGCAAACTTTCTTTGTTATACTTGTATCTTCTGAACTACAGCTAACTTCAACTTTTTGAAAAATAAACCATGCAATGCTAAGCATCACAAATTCTTTCTGGAGAGATCAATTGGCAAAGAGGATTTCCTTCATCAGGGAGATCAACAGATAGAAATTTACAAACAGCAAGAAGCCATGACACTATGGAAATACCTGGAAACTCTGTGAATGTGATTCTTCCAACAACTATTGCCAAATTCTGAAGCAAAATATCATGGGGTGGGGGGGGCAATGTAAAATAATAGCTTTGGGTCTTTTAGATCCAAGGATTTTTTTTTTATTTCTTGGGAAACCTCAAAATCAGATTTCCAGTCTGTCATCCTCTAGAGCAGTGGTTCTCAACCTGTGGGTCGGGACCCTATTTGGGGTCGAACGACCATTTCGCGGGGGTCGCCAAACAACGCAGTCTGCCATTTTTTTCCCCCTTTTCCTTAGCTGTGCTACTCCCTTTTATTCTATTGGCTTTTGAAAGCCAATAGAATAGACTCTCTTGAACAGAGTCTAATTCTATTGGCTTTCAAAAGCCAATAGGAATTGTCCAGGCTGTTTCTGCCCTGCTGAGCCTGCCAAAAGTCCCATTCTGCAAACGGTGCTGCACCAGTTGAGTAGTCCTCGACTTACGACCGGTTGGGGTCACGGCATTAAAAAGGTTGAGAACCACTGCTCTAGAGCTTGCATTAATAAAGGACTATCTGTGAAACTAGAGGACAATGAAAAAAAATCAAGGTAGCAGAGATGCAAAAAAAGACTGCTTTTTGGTCTTGATTGACACAAACTATTAAGACTTTGTAAATGGTAGAAAATTATTACCTTTATTCCACCCTCTTAGCCCATTTAAGATTGTTGTAAAAGTGACTGATGTACCACTTGATCAGCACCATATATCATGGCAAATACAGAATTTCAAGCAACATTATTGGACTTTGAACATACATACGTAATTTTACACTTACATGTTATTAAGGCAGAATGGTAATATCCACAAGAGATCCAGAAAACAGGTTTTCCAACATCCACTTGATGAGGAATACATACATTAGCTTCATTACCCAAGCCTATTTGGCCTTCAGAATTATCTCCCCACATAAAAAGTTGTCCATCCTCTTAAAATAAATAAGAAAGATTATTATTGTAAAAAATTCCAAATTATTTAAAGAAGCAAAGTCTAAGGAAATGAGGCTTAAAGCTATGGAGACTAGAGAAGAAACTTATTGTATAGAAGGAGAGAGAAGGTTCAGAAACAACAATAAAAGTTCCCATTTTGTGTATTATCTCATAGTCAGTGAGTTACATTTGAAGGATAACGGCAAATTGTGAGTTTTCCCTCTCTGAAATTATTTCTCTCTTACATCACATAAAATTTAAATGAATTTTACAAAAAAGGATACAATATTTAGAAGCATTTCTCTTATAATAAGACACTGGGGTGGTCACTTCATTAAGTTATTCAAAATCTTGTGAAGATCCTACTACGGAGTATACTCATACTGCTTTATTTGAAAAAGAGTTCATTCAGGTTGGAGAAAACATTAAATGGGTTTGAGATTTTTTTATTTTTTTGCATTTTAAAAGCCAGGTCAACACTTAAAGCAGAGGTAAATTTGTTAGCATACATGAATTGTGCTAACATTATTGTTTTACATGCATAATTCAGTGACATCTTCTGTATTATGGCAGGGCATATTGTATTAGGGATATAGTGTTACACAGAACAACAGAAGAAAAGGATTTAGGTTTGCTCATTGCAGATAACTGCAAAATAAGTAAACAGTGTGTCCAGGCAGCTGTGAAGGCAAACAAAATTCTGGGATGTACCAGGGATTCACCAGCAGGAAAAAGGAAGTTTGAATCCTGCTAAATAGGACTTTAGTCAAACCCTATTTAGAATAATGTGTCCAGTTCTGGAGACTCACTTAAAAAAAGATTTTAATAAGATTGAGCGAGTCCAGAGACGGGCAACAAAAATGGTGCAAGATTTGAGGGATAAAACGTGTCAGGAGACTGGAGGAACTGAATATGTACAGCTTAGAGTAGGGGTCCCCAATCCCTGGGCTTCAGCCCAGTACCAGGCTGCAGCCTGTTTGGAACCAGACCATGCAAGCAGTGGGCAAGTGCATGCGCATAGCTCCAGTTGCATGAGCTGCAAATGGAGCTGCATGTGTGAGTGCACTCACCCGCTGCTCACACGGAACCATTTTCTCTCTCCCCCCACTGTTGCCAGTCTGCAAAGCTGGAAATGTTGGGGGCTGCTGGCCTGGAGGACCGAAGGGAAAGGGGAGAGACATGATTGAAACTTTTAAATATATTAAGGGTTTGAATAAGTTCCAGAGGGCGGTATTTTCAATATTAAGCAAAAATCAAGAACATTATATCAAATGTCAAATGGCAAATGAACATGAACGACAAACTGACAGGAAGTTCAAAAGTAATATTAGAAAGTATTATTTCACAGAAAAAATAGTGGAATTTGGAACTAATTTCCAGCAGAGATAGTGGATCAGTCATCAGTAACTGAGTTTAAACATACATGGGATAAGCACACATCCATCATCCAACAAAAAATAAAATAAAAACAAAACAAAAACAAGGAAAAAACCTCAAAAGACAGACACAATGGGCCGTTAGGTCTTTTCTGCTGTCAGTTTTCTATGTTTCTATGTATTTATGGACATTACTTACAAAACTGTAAGGATGCTTTAGACTCCACTACAAAATGTCCTTGTTAACCTGCAATGGTCTCATTTTTGTTCCAGCTGGGAGGAAAATGAACTGTTTGCTTATATCCAAATTACCATTTTAAGCCATTTCATACTCTTTAGAACTTGTTTATTTGGCCATTGTTTAAGTTTTAGTGATCAAATTCAAGTTATGGGTACATAACCATCATCTAATAATAGCCCTTTTAAGGACTTTATAAGCTTAAGGAAGGTTATAAAAATGCTATTTTCTGCACTAACGTTCTGCATTTCACACCCTATTTTGTGAAAAAATATTTGCCCTCCGATAGACTAGATATTTTTGATTTTTGGTTTCCATAAAGACCTAATGGAAAAATATTTAAACCTTCAACTAACTTCCTCTTCAGCATAACTTTCATATAAGTCACTATTGGGCTCACCAGTTAATGCTGCCGATGTGTAGGATCCAGCTGCCAACTGTTTGATCTTGTGCTGACTGGTAAAATAACTAACTAGATGAAATGCACTTCTTTCTTCTGTGTCTCCTAATCCCAGTTGTCCTTCACTGTTACCCCCAGTGGCATACAGGTTCCCTTTTTCTGTGTAGAAAAAAAAACACACAAGCAAAATAAGCACACTTTACTTGAAGCACCAGGAAAAAAAAAACATTTCAAATAAAGAACATATTATACAGTTTTGTGTTGTCTTTAAGACTAATCACAACTGTTTAATGGTTACTTGCAGAAGTCACTGTCTACAGTTTAACTCTTTTTTAAAAAAAATGCTGACTACATAGTAGAATTTGACTATGCAAACTAGAATCACAGAATTGGAAGGGACCATTTAAGCCACAGGCCCAGCCTTCAACTCAGTGCAGAAACCCACATTAAAATATTCCAGAGAAAGATTGTCTAAAGCAGAGATCCCCAATCTTTTGGGCACCAGGGACCGGTTCTGTGGTGAAAGGTTTTTCCGTGGACCAGAGAGTGTGTGGTTTTGTGTGCTACCTGCATCCCACAGATGGGGCTTTGCTTATTTGTGTGGACCAGTACTGGTTCACAGACCGGGGATTGGGAGCCCCTGGTCTAAAGGCTAAGAACTATAAAGTGGCTGTCTAACCACTTGAACACATTAAAAAAAGGGCACTCATAGTATAAACTGAAGGTAAAAATATTTCATTTAAGTTACTACAACATATGAAAATATGTCATAGAATTAGCAGCTTAATTAGCAATTAGGGCTAATTAGCATTAATATTCAAATGAAACTTAATTATCCATAAATGTGTTCAAATACTCAACTACAAATGTTAATGATAGTTATGAAATTAATTGACCACAAAATACCTTTCTCGTGTGAAACTCGATTCTCTCAATCTCATAAATTTATATCAAATGCCAAATGGCAAATGAACATGATACACAGAATAATCCTTTAGTATTCAGAATTATTGATTTTACAAATTGCTTAAAACTTTCAGATTTCTGTAACTTGTCTTTATTAAAAGCATTCATAGGAGTACATCTATCAAAAACAACTTCCATTTTTTCAGAAAGAGGAAAACCTGTAATTTGGACATACAACTTTTTTAAAAAAAAGAATAGCTGAATTCCTAAATCTCCAGCAAATTATTTATATTTGGATTCACATGTTGATTACTGCAAGCAAAATCCTATTAAAAATTCGTTCATTATCAAATCCTAAAAAAAATTTCTTGGCAAAATGTACTTGGAAAATGATTCAGTGACCTTTATGGCCCATTATTTAATCATAGAATTTAGGGGTGTGCAATAAATTGGATTACTGGGAGAAAAGGTGATTTGGAATATACATAGGCATTCATTTGTCGGCAACTCCTTCAAGAAGCCACTTTATATCCTCACACAGTCCAAATCACCTTCTCTTCCAAATATGGCTCATTGCACAGCTAGAGCAGCTACACATTCGGGCCGTTTCTCATTGATGTAAGGTTGAGAAAGGCCTTAGTTTATCTAATTAAGGTCATGGTCTGTTTTTTCTTTGGGTAATTAAAATTCTGACAAACGATATTTTTTTAGAACAAACTTTATAGTCTTACAATATAATTATAAGAAAAAAGTGGCCAAATTCATATCCAGTTCAGAAAACTCTCTTAACATGAAGGCTTTTATCATCTTAACAAGGACATTAGAAGAAAGGCAAGACAAACTTCTCTGGGATGGAAATTCCAGCTTTTTGATGCTGTTACCAAAGAATGTCTCTGCCTAAGTCCAATATATACTGTATCAAGACATTGCTGCCAGATAGATGGACCATTAGATTCAGTATAAAACAGCTTTATAATCTCATGACAATATATTTTGAAATTACATTATATTCTATGTTACTGTCTACCCAAGCAGAAAGCTACAACAGGAAAACTTCTTCTTTGGCATATAAACAAATAAATTACATACCTGTATAGATCAAAGTGTGGTTTCTCCCACATGCAGCTAGTTTCACTTTTTCAGGTTTTAGAACTATGGATTGACACAAAAGGTTACTATTATTGTTGTTTTAATAATTATAAAATCAATTGTTGTCAAATCTGCTAAGTGTTCAAGTTTATAGGAAATTAATTTTCCAATCATTATCTATCTCAACATTTCATAGCACATCTTGAGTAAGCTGGATTTTCTATTGAAGTTAGGTCTGAATCATAAAAATAATTTAGTAAAACTGCAATCCTCTAAAATTACTGAATACAGCACAACCTATTTCTCCATAAATATACAGAAGAATTCCTAAAAATAATACTGAATAAGGAGACGTCAAGTCTTAATGTAATATGATATCTACAAATATGGAAACTAGAAAGATCAGATCTATTCTAGAAACCTGACACATAAATTAAAGATAAAAACCTTTCACACAAGTTGGTTTGCTGACAGTATTCTTTGTTCCAAGTCCTAGTTGTCCCCAGTTGTTGCTTCCAAACATGTATAGTTTACCATTTTCTGCAGAATACAGACATTAAAGAAAATAAGTGATTGCCAATGCATGTGTTAAAATATATCCAATATTTTCAATTTAGTTAGACACAACTATAGAAAGAGACATAATAATCATGTAATAAAGACCAAGTCTGCAAAATGTTATATATATAGTATATATCACTATCAAAGGCTGTACTTTTAAATAAACATATTTTTCTATTTCTATGCACTGTATACATTTAATTATTTTTGGTCTTAGAATACAAATATTAATTAGCAAATATACAATCATAGAAAAATAAATGTTTATAGAATAAGTGATGAGCAATCATTCTGAACATATGTAATCAATTTGTATTTTTTAAAAAATGTATAGAGTAATATTGAGGGAATTCTGAACATGAACATATTTTAATACTTCAGTATTTTTTCTTTTTCTAAGCAGAATTTAGAATAGTATCCAACTTTCTATGTAACTTTCTCTGTAATTGCACTATTAATTGCATCACATATTAATTTATGCTATTACCTGACATAGCATATTTCAAAATAAATTCAGATCATATTACAATGAAATGCTATTTATTTTCAAATAAACAAACTGTGCAAGATAGACATACTTAAAATGAAAGATATTAATTTTCTTTTTTGTACTTTATGTAAAATGGTACATGCTAATCTTTTCCATGCGAAGAACAAAGACTTTAAAATGTAATGCAAAGAAGTCAATAGTTTGATGTTTTCTCAAAAATGTCATTTTTAAAATATAGATAGGTAACTTATGCATGAAATAATATTTATAGGATAATGTTCCTCAACCTATTTGTTTCTTCTATCTCCTGCAAAACTGTAAGTTACTTTAAACATTTCACACACATTATGCATTGTTTTCTTCCTGTTAAATCATCTAGTTACCAATTCTGTTTCTCTGTGCTTTTTTCATCTCCACTTGGAAAGACCCTGACTTCAGTTGTAAAGGCAGTTGATGATGAATAAGCTTTAAGATAATGATTAGATGCACACATAAAAAAAATTAAAGTAGTTTAGCATGATGTGAAATGCTGCTGATATGGACTTACAGGGGAGGTGAGGAGAACTAAGATGTCTCTGTAAAAGCAGAGCAGGTGATCATGCAAAGACCAAGGAACTAGTGAATAAGAAACCTCTCCGGAGAAGGAGAGGATAAGAGATCACCTATATGTGCTCTGCATAGCTACTCCTTGTGAAGAGATCACAAGTTTGAGGGCCAGGAGAAAACTGGATTAGCCAACTTGCTTACAACCACAACTGAACTTTTTAAAGGATACCAAGTTTGCAAGTCTTACTTTCTAATCACTTTAGGAAATTGCCTATTAACCATTTTAAAGCTATTGGAGACCTTTAGAATGACAAGTTTGAAAAGTCTTCTTTGGATTAGTTTATCTTTAAAGCTGAACAAAACAGACATTAATTATAAGCTTAAGAATTTATTGCTTTCAGGCAATACAGGAGGGATATAAATAAACAAACAGCAGAAAGATATTGATTTTAGAACATTATAAACAGACTAGGAATTCAGAAAAATTTGGAATATAGAAATTTTTACAATAAGACTTTGGAACCTGTATACCAGAGGTCTCCAACCTTTCCAGGCTCACGGCCCAGAGGGAAGGAGAGCAGCTTCAAAGTTGGTGCGTTCACACGTACGTGCATGCAAAGAGGCCATGCACACTGGAAAGGCACTAGCAATCCTGTTCGTGCATGCAGCATGCGCTGGTGCTGTGTGTATGTGCAAACAGCCACACACACACACCTCTTGCAGCGGCTAGCAGCCCTGTTCAAGCATGTGCGAACGGGGCCGCGGGCACTACCGTAAATGGGGGGAATGTGTGCCCACGCATGTGCACACTGGCCAGCCATTTCCACAGCCCTCTGGCCAAGAGCCTGCGGCCCAGTCCTGGGCCGTAGCCCATAAATTACTACAAAAACTTTCCTAGCTGTTTGTAAGTTTTAATTGTGCATTATAGGGCAGCAATTTTTGAAACTGCAATGGGCTACCAGGACCCCTTACTCCTATACAATTAAAATTTGGAAAAATTGTGGCTGCTTCAGCACTACTGCAGTGCTGTGGTTAGCTGTGGTTATGACTGTCATTTCCGGTGCTCCCTGCCAGCTTCCCACAAGGAAAGTCAATGGCTTTTTGCCTGCCCATGATCATTCTGTTTCTCTATTTAAATAAAGGAATATTCTGGAAACAATGACTAGTTAATTATAAACAACAAATTGCTTCTAGTGGGAAATAGATCTGTTTTGGTTTTTGGAAAACATAACAGTGGGGACTAAAGATTTTAGGTAGAGGAAAAAATGCAAGCTTATAAAATGCAAAATGTTATATTAATGAAAATACCAAAGGAGACTTTTGAAGATTGGAGTCAAAAAGTAGTGGCCACAATATCAACAATGTCAATAAATATCTGCTTCCATGCATAGGCCATGTCCAAAAGGTCATGTTATTTATGAAATGACTATAGAAAAAAAAATACTGACAAAATAGAGATGATATTCAAAATACTGTAGATTTATAACTGATATGTCAAGGGAATGATTTGGAAAAGGATGTTTCACTGGATTTATGTAAGAAATTGATTGATGTTTTAAAATTTAAAAGAGAAATACAAATGAGTGACTTGGAGAATTTTGTCCTATTAGATTTACACAAGAGGCTTCTTAAAGCCTTGAGGAACACTATGGAATGGGACAACCAAGAAAAGAAATCAAATCCTATGACTAATGTCATAATCACTAAATGTGTTTATGCTTGTTTTGATGAAGATTGGATAAAGACGGAAGACTCTTCTTTGTAGATTCCTTTTCTCTTTATTATATTGTTTCTTCTTACTTCTTTTTTCTCTTTTTCCTTGCACTTTGTTTCCTTTTTCTTCTAAGTTTAATTGTGCTACATTTTACTATTATAATTAAAATTCTTACTAAAACTATATTAAAAAATGAAATGCAGATGATATGATTTCTAAGTATTACTCCTGGGAATTATGTTTAAATCCATTGTAGGAAAGAAAATGCTTTTAGACCTCTTTTGGGCTTTAGTGGAAAATATTCATATATTCTTCAAAGAATCCTACTGGATTCTTTACTTTGCATTATTAACATTTTACAATTGTTTTATGTTTTATAAACCTATTTATATATAGGTTTATCTGGTAGCATATGATAATACAGGTGGTTCTCAATTTACGATCACAATTGAGCCCAAAATTTCTGTTGCTAAGAAAGACAATTGTTAAGTGAGGTTGCCCCGTTTTATGATTTTTCTTGCCACAGTTGTTAAGTGAATCACTGCAGTTGTTAAGTTAGTAACAAGGTTGTTAAGTGAATCTGGCTTCCACATTGACTTTGCTTGTCATAAGGTCACAAAAGGTGATCATTGCAACTGTCATAAATATGAGCAAGTTGCCAAGCATTTGAATTATGATCACATGACCATGGGATGCTGCAATAGTTGTTTGAAAAATGGTCACAAGTCACTTTTTTCAGTGCTGTTGTAACTTTCAATAGTCACTAAATGAATGGCTGTAAGTCAAGGACCTGTATACAAAATTTATGAAGTTGAGAGAAGCTCTGAAAAGTAGAAAAAACAATGATATACGGAGTTAGCTTAAATTACATTAAAATAGTTGATAGGAATGATTGTTAATAGTAAGTTTAAAATTAATAATTTCACAGTAACTATTTTTAATAAAATGTTTAATAAAAATAAGAAGGGATCTGGTTGGTTTTTTTTGTAAATATTCTTAAATTATATTCCTATGACATATAAACTGATATATGGACAAAAGTATTTTCTGGATCCTATTTACAGCTAAAATACTTATTCTTCAACATTGAAAGGGCAATAAAATAGCCCCAAGAATTCAACAGTCTGTAGACTTTATATATTTGAATTTAGAAATTAACACTAATCAGATAGATTAGGTGTGGATGATTACAATGAAATAGGGCTAGTGTTATTGAATTATATAATTTAAACATGTATTTGTATCTGGGAATACATGCCCCTTATGTTTTTGTTTTATTTTATTTCTCCATAACTTTAGTACAGTTTACCTTTTTCTTGGTTTTTGTTTCTATTAATAAAAGTAATTTATAACTTGGTGGACGTGTAAAAATATAAAAGCTTTTTGGATTAAGATATGGTGGAATATTCAAAGAATTTTTAGAAGGAGGGTAAAATTTACCCCACAATTGTTTTTATTAGGTATTGTTACAGATTGTGATACTAAAGATATCACATTGATGTTAAATTTAATCACAGCTGCAAGGTTGTTAGTAGCACAATGTTGAAAGAAGGAATCTCTGCCTACCTTGCAAGAGTGGCTTTTTAAAGTTTCTTATCTGGCGGAAATGGCAAAGATTTCGGCTTTCCTGAAGGATCAATCTCAAGAGAAGTATGTTGTGGTATGGAGGAAATGGATAGATTTTATACAACACAAGATGGATATTAAAAAATACTATTTAGCTTTTTAATAATTTATATTGAAAAGCCAATTTTCTTGAAAAGTCAAACTTTTTTTCCCTTTTTTTTTCTTTTTATTATTATTATTTTCTTCTTTCCTCTTTTCTATTTTTCTTTTTTATATATATATATATTACCTTTAATTATTTTATAACTTGTTTAAGTAATGTATTTAGATTTGTTTATAGTTTTATAACTTATATTGAAAAGTTAATTTTTTTCATATTTTTTATCTATTTCTTTTTTTTTTCTTTTTTGGTATTTATGTTTTTTTTTACATATATATTGTTGTTAATTATTTAGTAATTTGTTTAAGTAATGTATTTAGATTTATTTACATTTTATACTTTTCTTAAGATTTTTTGAAGAAATTCTAATTAAGCCTATATCCAGCTCTGGGATAGTCGGGGGAGGGAAGGGGAGGGTTGGGGAGGGATGGGGAAAACTGTTTTGTTTTTGTATTGTAAAACCTTATAAATTTTCAATTTAAAAAAAAAAGTAATTTATAACTTCTGTAGTTTGCATTAGCGAGTTTCTAGTCATTTTTGAACTTACTGGTAAACATTACTATCACAACCACATGATATTGGAGAGGAGGGGGGCAACATGTTATGATGGCCAGAAGGGCTTTACAAATTGTAAAGCGGGTTTTCTGAGCTGTCATAATTTTGAATGATTGTTAAACAACCAATTGTAAGTTGAGGATTTCCTATATTTGTTCAGTAAACTTTTAAGACTTTTTAAGTCTATTAGGTTTGAACTACTCTTGGATTAAAAACATTTTTTAACATATCTAACCTGTATTTTGACTATATTTACGCACCTCAAGAGAGGGAGGCATCTAAAGATCTACTCAATTTGACACTGTTGTTATATAATAGCCAAGGTTAACTTTAGAACTGGGCTTGGCGATTAGCCAATTTTATCTAGTTCATTTTACAATAAAAGTTGGAATTTCTAAAAATATTAGTAAATGCCTTCATATAATATCACTACCAGTACAATATAGCCTTCACTTAAAAAATCAGAACATTGAAACACATGATTCTAAAATCTTGTTATACTAACCTGTAACAACAGATGTATGTTCATCTCCGCATGACATGTGTAAAGGCTTGTCATTTTTAAACCAAAACTTGCTAGGCACATTTTCTGCAAATTTGCTTTTTCCAAATGTGAATATAGCACCTGATTCTAAAAAGAAAAAGCTTAAATATTAATCTGAAATTAATTTTATATAATTCTACTAACAACTAATTTGGCCACTTAATGTCAAAATAATGGCACTGTATACCTTTCTTTTTTCAAAGTCTTGATTTTGCCCATATAGATACATTTATTCCATATTAACTATTAATTACATCCTAATAACTATCAAATAGCATCACGTGAAATACTGGCTGGTTGATGTATGTTTCCCCTTTACATTCAGAATACAAGTAGCATAAAAATGCGGTATAACTGATCATTTGCCATACACCAAACAGTACTGAACCGAGTGGACTGTTTTTCCTTACTCTTTTAAGGAGATACATTCTTCCTACCAATAATCTTATACCTCTTTTGTTAGTGGCACAAAAATCTACTAGTTCATTAATTAATAAGGGTGGTATAGGAAACATAACCAGAGGATGCTGTGCTCACACTATGATGTACAGCAATTCCCGAAAATTTCCAGAGCACACCAAGATAATTCTTCAAAAAAAGAAGAAAAATCCAATAGAGCATCCTATTGTATTCACAACTTTTTTCTACATTATTTTCAACACATATATTACAAAGCACATACAGTACGTATCCTGTAGCAGTTCAACGTCAGCAGAGAGTTAAAGATTTCAACAGTGACGAAAGGCCTTATGCTAGAACTTTAGCTCTCTCCAGGTTTTTAGTTAGAAGCAAATCAAATTGCGTTACTACAATCCTAATTAGAAACCTGAAGCCTCAAGCCTCCTTCATCAGTTCAGTTGTATCTGCCGCAAAGTCAGTAACCTGTGAAAATTAAGGATATTTGAGGCAGAGTGCAGGCTCAACCTGATGCTTTTATTCCGCAAGCTGAAAAAGGAGATACTCAGAAGACCGAGAACGGCCCCCACATTGTAAGAACACAAAGCCGTGGCTGAAATGCACCCCGCCTCCGTCCTTTGCAGCGGTGAGCTCGCTGACGAAACCCTCCAAGGGCGCCTTTCGAAGTCCCGCGGAAGGGCTGAGCCTCAAGCAGCAAAGCAGAGGAACAACTCGAGCGGAATAGAGACAAGCGAGGGACGAGGCAGCCTCGCCGGCTCCCTCGGCAAAGCCGCCAGAAGGCGCCAGGAGCGAAAGCGGGCTGCCGGCACCAACCAGCTAACTTTCCGAGGTGAGGACGGGACTCACCGGGTACTTGCTCCTCGGCCTCCCCCCTGACGGGCAGGAGGGGGGAGGGGGCGGCGCCGGGTTGGTAGATGGACCCACAAGCCGCCCCGAGCCCGGAAGTAAACAAATCTCCTGCCATTAGCAACGAAGCCTGGCTTTACCATAGAGTACTTGGAAGGCTGTATAGAGCGTAAGCATCATAGAGCACCATCCTCTCCTTGGCCTCCTTGCCCCCCTCCCCAGGAGGAATAGCTAAGGATCGAGCTGCAGTTTAAATGTATCAGGAGCCGGGATTCCTAAAATAATAAATAAATTCCGTAAACATGTCTCGAGAGAGGGAAGTGCCGTTGTGCACGTGCAAATACATGCCTGTAAATAATTATGGCTAGGTAAGTCTCGATTCTGAACAAGCAGAAGTGAGCATGTTAGATCGAGTTACACCGACTTACATCAGGCTGGTAGTAGACTATTGTAAAATTATCTCCTCCCTCTGTATAATTGTATCTCCTTCGGTTTGTAATATTTTCTGTGAAATCGTGCTTTTGCCAAGCAGATGCCATTGCCTTCTCCGTCCTATTTCCAAAATCCACCCAGTAATTTCATCTTTGTCAGGGAGGAAACAACACTTCAATTAATAAACTTATCAAGGAAGAAATCACACTTCAACCAAGACTGGCAGGGCAATAAACCTCAAAACCACTCTGCCTTGCACTGATGATATTTACCTTGCTTGATAATGAAACATCTGCAAGAAAAGCAAGCAAGCTCAGAGTATCCCAAGGACTCAACTGTTATGTCCTGAGCCTGTGGAAGCAGGCTCGGGGCATTGCAACGGTCCTGGGCAGGTGCAAGTTGCCCGGGACCAGACTGGCTGTCACCAGCACGTGCGCGCATGCGCAGGTGCTGGTGCGCGAAATGTTGCAGATTGGCCCGGGAATGGCCTATAAAAGAGGCCGGGAGATTTGGGCGTTGTCGGCGTCTTGTACCAGTATGCTGAACAGAAATAAAGAAGTTCCTGAGAACTACAACTGCTTCTCGTGTCATTGCCATTTCGTGAAGGACGCAACACAACAGGTTTGGGGAGCCCATTTTATTTGGAGTTTTTATACAATGCTGTGCTTCCGTCCTATTTTCCACATACAATGAAGGGTTCTATAAAATTTGGGATTAGAAATTGTTTAAAACATAAAATCCTTATAAATTTACAGGTAGCTTTACAGCCAGAAATACTTGTGATTAGAAAGACTACACTTTAGTCTCTTCTCTGTTCTACCACATCACCCGCTACTTTGTTTATATTCAGCTTCTAAATATAACTAAAGAATACAGTGATCTATAACCACTATCACTATAAGGTGTCCATTTTTGTACAAATGCAGTTGAAATTTATGGTTGTGGAAAATGGAAATAGTTGATTATTTAATAAAGGAATTAATTGTCTTAGGTAACGGAAGGCTTTTTCTCTCCCTCCCCCCCTTTCCTGAGCTAAATTGTGCCCTCCTGTGCTTTAAGAAATGTTATGTATGATTTCTTTAACCATCTGCAGGCCAGGAAAAAACTTTAATATAATGGAAAAGTGGATGCTATAGATTTAATATGTGGATATCCAGTAACTTGGATACTGTATTTCATTATATACCCTCCCTCTCTCACACACCCATGTTCTCACACACATACTAGTGTGGAAAAAGAAGAAGACCTAATGAATGAGATAATTCTCTAGCTATATCTATGTAACATCTGCATGGACCAAGATTATCATAACAATAACAAAATAGCAGAGTTGAAAGGGACCTTGGAGGCAGGAAACCCTGTACAGGGGGGCACCTTTTCTCCAGGAACATGAACTGACCTTTAGCAATATGGAAAATGTCCGGAATGGGCCATATATACTGCAATCACATGCTGATTTTATCTTCTAATGATGCAACTATGAATTTTGCAACTCAGCTAACTATTAACTTTTTATCTATAGTATTTGTGTCAAGTTACATACCTAACAAATACTAAAGATAATATAGCCTCATGACTGCTTTTCTTTGCTGCTTCACTAAAAACTAGAGTATTCACTATTTCATCTGGCTCTGGTTAGAACATTTTCTTCTACAACTAAAAATTATCATTTAATAAATATGTTTAATTTCAGATTCCTATTTAATGCAGCAAATATACATAAAATCAAGCATTCGGTACAATATATTCGGTAAGTGTTTAAATATCTCACAGATGAGTCCTGAATCATATAGGCTGTTCTTTAATATCTGCTATAAAATTTATGAGATTGATAATCTATATCTTCATTTTTAGTAGTGTTTATATACCAAACCATAAAACTAAAACAAATCAATTTTATTGAAAAATAGGTATGTTGATGATATTACAATCTTTGTCTTCTATTTCTAGAGCATCTGATAATTGTATATACCAGAAATTATTTGCATATGTTCTTCAAATCAGTGACATGTTCTATTATTTACAAATGGCTTTTATACTTTTCCTCTCTGATGTAGTTGAGAAATTACATAAAGTTCTTTTATAAATGTGGGGAAGAGGGGCAAATCTTAGAAAAATTAATAAGAGCAACTAATTTGTTTATTTGTCATGGATTATTTTTAATTGTCTCAATATAATGTGAAAAATATGGTGGCATAATGTTAATTAAGTTTTGGAATGATGCTAATATGACCAAACAGAATTGAATTACAGTATATTGTCAAAAATTGTGTTATAGTTATTCATTAGTTTTCAATCTCTCTTGATCTCATATGAATATGAGAGAGGAAAATAAAGAGATACTATAGCACCAGCTTGAGTGCTCACTAAATATATGGACTTCATATCCCATATTTCTTTGACCAAGAAGATCAGAGCATAAGATTCTGAGAGCTGAAGTGCCCATGTTGATAAAGGCTGCAATACTCTTTTGTCTTCATTAACAATTTTGCCAGTTGGTCAATTTGCATTGCCTCATGTAAATCTTAGCAATTTATTTACCTACATGGTAAAAGTAAAAATAAAAAGGGGCTATGGACTTCTCTGAGGCCATCTGCTTTAAAAGAGAGCTCATCTAGTAAGTATTTTATTACTAAACATTTGTCTGCGGTGCTGACTGTTAGTTACAGTCCTGTTTTGAGGACAAAACCAGCTGGGTGATCTTGGGCCAGTTACTTTCTTTCAGCCCTTGCCATGAAAACTATAGGGACTTGTCCAGGTAGTCTCCAAGTATCAGACACAACTGAACAGAAAAAAAAGGAACTTTATTCTATATGCCAGTATGGCTAGTAGACTATTAAGAGGTGGGTCGAATTGCTGAAATTTATGAACATTACCAGTAGCTATCAACCCTAAATCTTTTTTGCAGAGACATACCATTACACAGATGCCCCTCAATTTGCAGCCATTCATTTAGCAACTGAATAGTTACAGCAGAACTGAAAAAAATTACAACTGGTCCTCACATTTACAAGTGTTGCAGCATTACAACCCACAGTCATGTGATCAAAATTCTGGCACATGGCAATTGGCATGTATTTCCAAGGTGGCAGTGTCCCAAGGTCACGTGGTCATCATTTGTGACATTCCCCGCCGGCTTCTGATGAGTGAAATCAATGCGGGAAGCTGAATTCACTTAGCACTACCTGATTCATTTAATAACTGCAGTGATTCACTTAACGATTGTGGGGAAAAATTGTAAAATTGTGTGTGACTCACTTAACCACCTTACCATCAATCCAAATTCTGGTCCCAATTGTAGTTGTAAGTCGAGGACTACCTGTACTAAGTGTGCCCATTATTGATGCACCATTATACCATTGTCTTAATTTGTTCATTCCAATTATCTAATATGACAGTGAAAAATATGGAGCCAGCTGATGCCCCATGCCAGTCATTCTTCCCTTTCTTCCTTGGGGTTTTGCAAAAATATCATTCCCCCGTATTTTATGGAGCAGTACCTGAGCCAAATATGAATTCTGTAGAAAGCAAATTTGAAATAACTATTTGGAGGTTACTTATGGGAAAATAGAGAATGATCTCTGGATATTTTTATCTATTTATTCATATCCTCTTATTTTGAAGTGAAGTTTCAAAAGAGATTTATTTTTAGCTCTATTTGTAATCTAAGAATGCAATCTTATGATGTCTTGTTTTGACTGAAAAATTATAAATTCCTCTTCAACATTTTGTCTATTTCTTCCTATTCTGTTTTGCCATTCCCCTCTACCATGAAGTCATAATCCAGAAAAGCCTTTCTTTATCTAGTGACCTTCAGATAGTTTGTGCTATGGTTCCCATAATTCTGTTGAATCTTGAGGCAGAATGGGGCTGCTATATATGTGCTGATGGCACTTTGTGTACTAATGGCTCCTTTGTCCCTCAGAGAAGTCATAACATGATCTGATATAACATTGTCATCAATCCTTTGCCATAGTCAAACCACTTTCTAGTTTATATGTATGTCACCAACAAACTGCATTTCCACAGAATAATAAACTATTAGGAATATATGTTCTTGGTGCCTGTTGGATGCCTGTGAATGCTGGAAGAGTTCCCCAATGATTTTGTGGGACGTTCTTCTGTGCACCTTGCCAATCTCTGGAACTTGGAGATAAGGAGGGTGCTAAATGAAATTGGCTCTTCTGTTCACACAGATCTCAGAAGTCTCCTTGGTTTATTGCAGTGTTTCAAGAAATTAAGCAGCTAAAGAGACACCTAGAGTACTAGTAGAAGGAAATGAAGAATGAATGTGATCATGCACATTTACATACTCCTGTTTGGGAATATAGGGAAACAAATAATCAGAGGGAGCATAAATTATCCCATAATATTGATTATTTTTGAAAAGCAAGTTTTTAACTATAAATAGTGTTTTCTTTGCCCCTCCCCTCCAATAGTTCTAAACATGGACAACCTATTGAAACTTCTGCCAAATTAAAGGGCCAGGACCTCTTAACCCTACAAAACTACACACCTGAAGAAATCAAATATTTGCTTTGGGTAGCATCGGA